AAAAAAAAAGAAAGAAAGAAAATGGTTGCAAACAACAGAAACAGATTCTAGCTAATGTACGCAAATAGGAAGTTTTTTGCAAGGATATTGCAGTAAGTTTCCTATTTGCTTACGTTAGCCCCATGTTAGAAAGGACATGGGGCTTTTGTAGGGAGCGGTGAGGGGCAGTGAAATAGCAGGGACAACTGGACAGTCTGCCCAGGTTAACAATGCTACTTTGAATGACCACCTCACCTGTGAAATAGTGGCGGTCACAGTGGCTCACACCTGTAATCCCAACATTTTGAGAAGCCAAGGTGGGCAGATCACTTATGGCCAGGAGTTTGAGACCAGCCTGGTTAACATGACAAAATCCCATCTCTACTAAAAAAAAAAAAAAATTAGACAGGTATAGTGGTACGCACCTGTAACCCCTGCTACTCGGGAGGCTGAAGCAGGAGGATTGCTTGAACCTGAGAAGTAGATGTTGCAGAGCGGCAAGATGGCACCACTGCACTGGAGTCTGGGTGACAGAGCAAGACTCCGTCTCAAAATAAATAATTAAATCAATAAAATAAGAATAAGAATAAGCTATTGTCAGACCAGCTGGCCTAGCTTAGTCTCATGACCATCTCTTGGCTAGGGAAGGACAAGCTACCTTAATTAATTAAACCACCAGGCTCTAAACAATGAAGGAAAAGTCATTCCTTCTGAAAACTAAAGTATTTTAATCAAAAGGAGGCAGACATATACCAGCTAACTAAAAATAGCAAATTTCCCCCAATGAACTCAAATCTGTTCATCTCCTAAGCCTTAGCTTTGTCTCTCCCACCATGCATCCTCTTTATTACGCTGTCAGGCAGGAGTTCCTGTTATTTGGATATCTGGAAGTTAAGAAGGAAGGAGGAGAGTTAATATCACAAGGGACAAGAATGAAGTGTTTTATATTGCACTGTGATTTTAAATTTAAAATACTTTTCTTTCTGGCCAATATAGTATAGTGGCTAGGAGTGATTTTGGATTTCCCCCCAAATCCAGTGAAATTAAACTGACCTGGGTCTGACTACCAGTTCCACCATTTGTTCTCTGTATGAACTCAGACAGGGTAAAGTCAATGAGCCGAATTTTCTTCATGTGTAAAATGAGTTAAAAACTACCACCTCACCTGATAGTTGTATGCTTCCATTGAGCAGATATATGAAGTGCTTGACATATAAGATGCTCCCAATAAATGCTCTTCCCACCCATTCCCTCTGCCGACATACTGAAAAATTATATGGTATTAACATTTTTTTTGAGATGGAGTCTTGCTCTGCTGCCCAGTCTGGAGTACAGTGGTACTATCTTGGCTCACTGCAACCTCCACCTTCCAGGTTCCAGTGATTCTCCTGCCTCAGTCTCTCGAGTAGCTATGATTACAGGCATGCACCACCACGCCTGGCTCTTTTTTTTTTAAACAGAGTTTCTCTCTTGTTGCCCAGACTGGGGTGCAATGGCTCAAGCTCAGCTCACTGCAACCTCTGCCTCCTGAGTTCAAGCAATTCTCCTGCCTCAGCCTCCTGATTAGCTGGGATTACAGGCATGTGCCACCACACCCAGCTAATTTTTGTATTCTTAGTAGAGATGGAGTTTTGCCATGTTAGCCAGGCTGGTCTCAAACTCCTGACCTCAAGTGATCTTCCTGCCTCGGCCTCCCAAGGTGCTGGGATTACAGGCGTGAGCCATCGTGCCTGGCCGGTGTTGGTATTTTTTGTATTCTGAGGGTCATATGATTCACTTCTTCTGTTAGGTGTTGTCTTTCTTATGGAAGGATATCCAGTTGTTTCATGATGGCATTTGCACCTCCAAAAAACACAGATGGTCCCAAAATGCAGACAAAGATGAGCACTTGGACACCCTTAAACCATCAGCTCTTGAATGACCGGGTAAGTGACCAGAGCTATTTTATCAATTGAATCCGTGACTTAGAGGGAAAAAAAAGTATTAAAATTTTCATTGCCAAAATATGAAGAGGAATTATTTAGGATTGTGTAATGGATGAACAAAAGCCAAAATGAATATATTCAAAACCTTTTATTGAACTCTTGCTATAGGGCAAGGCTGGCAATAGACATGGATTCCTTGCCTAAGAAGAAAATGCCTTGGATTCATTCTTTCCCCTGCTGTCACCTTCCTCCCCCACCCCAGTTACCTTTTTCCTTCCTTCAGTTGTTCTCCCCTGGAACCACCAGGGCTGAGAAAGGAGAGAGGGATCAACAGCGTCCCCAGAAACCCGGTTTTCTTGGTACAGTTGAGGTCACTGTGTAATGCTGTATGTTGAATAAGATACGTAAAATGAATACATTTCAGCTGGCTATTCACATTACTCAGGTTCTTTTAAGACGTTTATTTTCATGACCAGGTACAGTGGCTCACACCTGTAATCCAGCACTTTGGGAGGCTGAGGCAGGCGGATCATCTGAAGTCAGGAGTTCGAGACCAGCTTGGCTAACATGATGAAACCTTGCTTCTGCTAAAAATAAACAAAAATAAATTATCCAGGTGTGATGGTGGGCACCTGTAATCTCAGCTACTCAGGAGGCTGAGACAGGAGAATCACTTGAACCTGGGAGGTGGAGGTTGCAGTGAGTTGAGATTGCGCCACTGTACTCTGGCTTGGGCAACAAGAACAAAACTCCCTCTCTCAAAAAAAAAAAAAAGACATTTATTTTCCACCTGCCCTCTAGGAAGGTGCTAGAGGAATACACTAAAGGATCATGGTGGATGGCTGGGATGTGAGACTGACCAACCTCTAGGGGTTTCTATTCCTGCTTCAGTTAGGAACAGAATTTGCCAACAGGTCTGTGAGCTCCAGTGATCAATCCCTGTATATAAGGACCACACCTATTTGGCAGGAAAAGACAATTACCATGTATAAAACTGACCTCAGCCTCTTGTTTCTACACACCTGTTCCTCCCCTGGTGAGAGGCACTACTTTATACCAAGTCACTCGAGCCAGAAATTCTCCTTTTCCTTGACCAGTGTGGGATTTATTTTCCCCCAGATTAGCAGCTAATAAGTTAGCCTGTGACTTGTGGAATAGAAGACTCTGCTGTTTCATAGTAAAAGATGAGATTCTTGGGTCAAAAACAGCTTTACTCACAAAGCAGCGAGCAGCATGAACGTTATGTTCATGTGGGTTCTGTTGGTCCTCCTGTCCCACAGGTGTGACACAGAGAGCCCAGGTAAAGGCTACACATACAGTGGTTTGCACCACAGCTGAGGAACCGTGAGCCCAGGGCATCCACCGGTTTTTACAGTAAGCAGTAAGCAAGCCTGCTCTTGCTCCCACAGGGAGACTTGACCTCATCCCTCAAGGCTGCCTTACTACAGACACGACCTGCAAGAATGGCCCCAGTCACACATGCTCAGGGCCGTGCTTCCTTGCATGCCAAGATGTTTCAGAGTGTGAGAGGCACACAGAGGGTTGTTCACCAATGCTCCCTTGCCTCCATATCCAGTTTGCTTTCCAGTTCTCTGAGTCCTCTTCCCAATCTCTCATTCAGGCCCCTCTTCTCCACCCCCTATCCACTTCCGGCGCCATCCTCAGCTCACACTGTCGGCATCCTGTGCCTGATACATTGCAGTTACCCCCTAACTAACTTCACTGCCTCTGTCCCTGCCGATCCAGCCTGTATTCTGGTACCAGAGAGATCTTTCTAAGATTCCAATTCTATTCAGTGAAGCCAGTCATAGGCTCCACTCCTAAGAGTAACTTCCAACCCCCCAAGGCCTACCATTGAGGGTCTTTCATAATCTGACCTCAGTAGCTTCACAGATCCACTCCTGCCCCTGCTCCCTCACACCCGATGCCCAGGCCTGGCTCAGGGCCTCAGGTGAACCCTGCTCGTCCACACCTCCACGCCTTTGCCTGTGCTTTCACCCTCGCCTCCTGTGTGAGTCCATTCAAATGTCCTTTCCTCTTGAAGCCTCCCCTGCGTCCTGCTTCCTTTTCTTTGCTCTCATCACTGTATGCTGACTTTCCCAGTCAACTCCCATGCATGAAGAAGTGAGATTCTGTCTTTTCTCTCTGTACCTCCAGGAACCTGGTATAGTTCCTGTAGCATAAAAAATGGAGTCAAGGCTGGGCGTGGTGGCTCACACCTGTCATCCAAGCACTTTGGGATCACCTCAGGTCAGGAGTTTGAGACCAGCCTAGCCAACACGGTGAAACCCTGTCTCTACTGAAAATACAAAAATTAGGCTGGGTGCAGTGGCTCACACCTGTAATCCCAGCACTTTGGGAGGCTGAGCACTTTGGGAGGTGGGTGGGTCATGAGGTCAGGAGTTTGAGACCAGTCTGACCAACATGGTGAAACCTTGTCTCTACTAAAAGTACAAAAATAAGCCAGGCGTGGTGGTGCGTGCTTGTAATCCCAGCTACTCAGGAGGCTGAGGCAGGAGATCACTTGAACTTGGGAAGCAGAGGCAGAGTTACAGTGAGCAGAGATGGTGCCACTGCACTCCAGCCTGGGTGACAGAGCAAGACTCCATCTAAAAAAGTAAAATACAAATATTAGCTGGGCGTGGTGATGCACACCTGTATTCCCAGATTTTCGGGAGGCAGAGGCAGGAAAATCACTGGAACCCAGGAAGGAGGTGGATATTGCAGTGAGTCAAGATCACACCACCGTACTCCCGTGCCTGGACAACAGAGCGAGACTCTTGTCAAAAAGACAGAAAGGAAGGAAAGATGGAAGGAAGGAAGGAGGGGGGAGGGAGGGGGGGAGGGAAGGAAGGAATGTAGGAAGGAAGGAAGGAAAAAAAGAAGAAATGGAATCAGAGTAGTTCAGGTCTACTCCCTGTACCTCTTTCACTGACTTTTGCCTTCACCTGGATCTGCCTCTCGAAACTCGACAGTTGGGCTCATCCCTTGGCAAAGCTGTCATCAAACCTGAGCCCTCCTGCCCAGTGCTTTCTATTTCTACTTGCATCAGTTTCTACTGATGAGCGATTTTAGGAGAGGAACAGAAGAGCCAGATTGGAATAGTGAGAAATAAAATGGAGAGAGACTGAAAAAGGGAAACAATAAAGGAAATGAGGAAAGAGGAAAGACAATGAGAAAACATGGAGGGACAGGGGAAACAAAAGGAAAGGCAGAGAAAGAGGGAGAAAGAGGTTCGGCCTTCATCTAACCATGAACACCAAATAAATCTATTGAAAATATGCTGGGGGCCAGGCACAGTGGCTCATGTCTATAATTCCAGCACTTTGCAAGGCTGAGGCTGGTGGATCGTTTGAGGCCAAGGGTTTAAGACCAGCCTGGGCAACATAGTGAGACCTTGTCTTTATTTAAAAAAAAAAATCAAAATATTAGCCTGGCATGTTGGTGCATGCCTGTGGTCCCAGCTACTTGGGAGGCTGAGGCAGGAGGATGGCTTGAGCTCAGAAGCTGGAAGTTGGGGTGAGCCATGATTGCACCACTGTACTCCAGCCTGAGTGACAGAGAGAGACCCTGTCTCTAAAAAAAGAAGGAAAGAAAATTGTTTTTATCCAGCTCAACAGTAATTTACTGAGCACCTGTTTGCAATGCTAGAAGCTCTCCCACGGTTTCTATAACAGCGTATCTGCTTCCCCTACCAAGACTTCAGCGGCTCATTTTGAAATCTGTCTTCCCATAGAATTGTGAAGGTTTGACACACATGTGAAAAAGTGCCTTGAATTCAAATATGCAGTCATTGGATTCCTTGATTTTCAGAAATTTTCTTCGAAAAATTACGAGTCTTGATCAATTTAGCAGCTGTGGAGAAGAAATGTGTCTTAGGAGGCAAAAATTGCCTGAGTGGCTCTCGCAGTTGAGCTTTTAGAGAAGTTGATTCTGAGATTAGCACGTAGAGCGTTGACTGGAGAGAACTTTCAGGATCAGCACATGGGAAGGGAAGTAAAGAAAAGGAAAAAAGAAAAGGGACAGATGCGAGGCAAAGGAAGAAGTTGGGCTGGAATGCAGCCTCAGTGAGGTCTCCACTGACCCACAGGACTCCCTGAAGCTGCCATGAGGCTTCAGATTGGTGGTATTAGTCAGTGCTCGCACTGCTATGAAGAAATACCTGAGGCTGGGTAATTTATAAAGAAAAGAGGTTTAATTGGCTCATAGTTCTGCAGGCTGTTACAGGAAGCATAACACCATCTGCTTCTGGGGCGGCCTCAAGGAACTTTCTGTCGTGGCAGAGGGCAAAGCAGGAGGAGGCATCTTATGTGGCAGGAAGGGGAGGAAGAGTGAGACAGGGGAGGTGCCACACACTTTTAAACAACCAGGTCTCATGAGAACTCACTACCGCTGATGACAGCCCTAGGGGGATGGTGCTAAACCATGAGAAACTGCCCCCGTGATCCAATCATCTCCCACCTAGCCCCACCTCCAACGTGGGGGATTATAAAGGGTTTTGTTTTTGTTTTTGTTTTGAGACAGAGTTCACTCTGTTGCCCAGGTTGGAGTGCAATGGCACTGTCTCGGCTCTCCGCAACTTCCACCCCCTGGTTTAAGCGATGCTTCTGCCTCAGCATCCCAAGTAGCTAGGATTACAAGAGCCCGCCACCATGCCCGGCTAATTTTTATGTTTTTAGTAGAGACAGAGCTTCACCATGTTGGCCAGGCTGGTCTCTAACTCCTGACCTCAGTGATCCACTCGCCTTGGCCTCACAAAGTTCTGGGATTACAGGCATGAACCACTGCACCAGGCCAGGTTTTACAATTTGATACGAGATTTGGTGGCAACAGAGATCCAAGCCACATACTTCTACACTGACTAACCATTCAGTGAGTGCTAGCTGCCTCCCCACCCCCGCCAGGTCTGACCTTGGGCAAGGCAACTCTCTCAAGCTGGTGACTATCAACCAGCAGCCTCCCAACAGGTGGGGAAATAACTCGTTTAGTTCTGGAGGGGA